CTTTTTCGAGCATTTTTCAACTTTTATCGCGTATTACAGCAATATGGATAAGAGCACAGGAATATATCTTTACTTTAGCAGATATTAGGAAAATTGCTCACTGCTACTAATATTCGCGCCTCCCTTTAGACTAGTTCACGCCTACCCAGGGAGGCGCGCCTCACAGTTTGGAAAACGCTGATATAAATAATTGTTTTATGAAATCTCGATCAGAATTTAACTTTGATTCATGAATTATGAAGAGTATTACTCCAGTGTACATAATTATCTATATTTTTTTATATTTAACAATCAGTTAAGTTTTCTTGTTGCAATTCGACAAAAAACAATAAATGGAAACGAATAAGTTGATTCTATCACTACTACTCTGCTTAAAATCAAATGATTCAATTGTAATTAACTATAGGTACAATTACATTGATTTGTTTAATTATTATTGTCTCTTTAAGCGTTTATTTTTTTGTTGAAATGCAATTCATACTGAAGAGACTTGTTCGGATTGTTAAGCAAAACGGTGGGGAAAAATGTGTTTTTTTTTGGATATTATATAAGAATTGAAGTGGAAGTTGTGGGGGGGCGACACCAATTATTAACAGGTATTTGAGTTTGGACGTTTGAGTGAAATTGAGGATGCCGAAAGCTTTTGCTACCCCAGTTTCAGGAGGGGAATTATAATTGGGTGATGTAATTCTTCCCTACTACGATATGTATGATCTACATGTACGCATGGCTGTATGGATTTCTTCAAAGAATTAAAAGCTTGCGCTTTTCGATGAGAGGGTGGCGGCTTCCCTATTTTAACGAAGCTGCAGCCGTAAGGGATGAAATTCTAAATAAATACATGTGCCTAGTGGATTCGTAAATGGCTTTTTCGCATTTTTTTCCCGATAAACCTTCGAAGGACCTCAGGCTTCGGTGGGAGCGCGCGCTAATTGGTACGTTACTTCCACTAGACGGATGCATGCTCTTTACCTCTTCACTGCTCAATGTTCTGTGTGTGTTACGACGTGAAATGGAGGCCCTAACAGTCGCCGCCGCTCGTTACGTTTTACTATTATGTGTGATAAGATTTTCACCCCTCGATACATACCTTCTCTTTTTTTCTTCGCTCAGACCCGAAGGAAGAATTTAAGGTGATGGAGAGAAAAATAGAGGAGTGCAAAAACGCGATTTGCTCCAAATTGGCAATACCATTCGTTCCTCTTTATCCCTGCATGCGTAGGGAAACGAAACTAGCAACCATTTGCACGTCCCAAAATGAACCGCAAACTACTCTTAAAACACCAAAAAGGATTGATTGATCCTCATCTATTAGGTTTATCTTATATAAGAGACTTTAATTGTGCAACACCCTCATTCGGCATTCACCTCGCGGCCTAATTTATTTTAAAACCAATTCGCTTTGTTTGAATTTGTACTGGAGTCGTTTGTACCTCGAGCGCATGGGAATCGCCCTGTTACGAGGGAGATTTGTAGCTTCCTTGATTTACGCGCGCTGCTTTTTCATTTAGAGATGCCCCCTTTTTTATATAATAGCTTACTTTTTTTCAAAAAAAAATATCTATTTGTATTCGCGCGCATAAAACACCGACTCTCGTAAACACAACCTGGCGTTGTTCATGGCTGAAGATGTGTTTTTTTTCGCTGCTCCCATTCCCCTAACAGCAGCAGCAGTTTACTACCAACGCTGTATACAAATAATTCTTCAGTTATTATGCAATTACCATTAACAATGTTTGTTCTATCTCTTTATTACGTCTACGTTTATTTCAAATTTATTGTCTTCAAAAACAGTAGTTAATGTAATTAAAATTGTCGAATTCGTTGAAAAATCTTGGTCCAGTTTGCAATCTCGAACTCTGTGTATGCGGACATTGAGCAAATACCTAATTTGGTTGTTTGCCTTTCTTGTACCGGGAGGGCATACAAACTGAGGTCGTTATTTGCTTGTGGATAGTTGCTTTTGTATCTGCAAACAAACTCGAAGGGTGCGTATTCCAGTTCTTCGGGTTTTGCATGCGGTTAATTACGGAATTATCAATAGAAGGCCTAATGATGTGGGACACGTGATTTGGTACTGAAAAAAAGAATAGACCAAGAGTACACGCAACGTTTCTTACAACAAAAAAAAAGATACAATGAATGATTCTTGCAATTAATTAAATCGTGGCCATTGCCACTTTGGTGAGGTACAAGCGGTGGTGATAAGTCTGAGAGGACGACGTTTTATTGGGATTAAAGGTGCATGTTCAAAGTAATTTCAAAAGTTCTTCGAATGAGTTATTACGAACATGTCGCCCTTCGGGAGAACTGGTGGGAATCGAATACTTTCGAGATTATGTCTCCGTCCGCAAATTGGTACAAATTCTGCGGATTTACTTCCTTGCGAAAAGAGTTCCTTCCCCTACCATTCACCGACATAATCTATTATTGGCACCACAATGTATCCACCGCAAAGTTTTCTAATCAATTCGGGTGATGGCGTTCTCACAAAACCTCGAAGGGGAGAGGAAAAACGCACACATAATCTTTATATGCAAACTTTAATTTCGAATGGGGAAGTTTTATTTTCTTTTGCTTTGATGCTTAATCGTGTTTTTTTCTTTCTTTATTGCAGAATGGAACAACATGTCGGGTCACGACAGGGTAAAGAGACAGCTCTCCGTCTCCTCCGATAGTAAGCTCCTCGACGACGATATTAGGGAAGAGACGCGGGTTATCCTCAGACCGAAGAAGCCGCCGAGACCCAAATCAGAGGTGCTCCTCAACCAGCAGGGTTCAGACCACCGTCGAACGAAACGGTTCTCAGCCTTTGGTGTAAGTTCACAACAAAATACTCTTTCTTCTGGTGATTGTGCGTCTTTCCGGATTAAAAAATGAAGAGCGAGAAACGATGGGGGGTAGGAAAGAAAAATATTGCTTATCGATCCGCGTTTTATTGGACGGGTCGGAACTTTATAGGCAGTTGAACATGAGCTATTGAACTTAAGGACACATAAAACTGTTACCATTCGGATGGGGTCGACTCTTAAATTTCACGTTAAAATTATTTAAATGTCCATTATTGCAAGTAATTCAACTCCGAGAAGAAGTAGTGTACGTTTCATTGAAATTAATGCGGCGTACGACCAAATGATCCAATTTGCATTTATAATACCTAACATTCGCAGCTACGATTATTATATTGTACGTTGAGATCGTATCGAGTTTCAAAGTAACTGCAAACTATTAATTATCTCGACATTCTAATCGCCTCCCACACCCTCTCCTTCCTACTGTACGCAACTTCTGCAGGAAAATTTATAATCGTGTTTAGTGTGTGTAGTTTTCGTCTTTTTATGCGCAAACTTAGCCACATAATGGCTTATAAAGTTGCATTATCTGTGCTCTTTTCAAAGAGGGCAAACTTTTATATCCATTAGAGAGTGAGGGTGCTCTCGACCGCAAATTATTGGTGGAAGATTCATCCGGTAAATGGGTTTTATCTATTAATCTTTACCATCCCCTCGCAGCGATGATAATAGACCCTCGCCGGATTGCTATTTGAGTTAGTACCATAGTTTATTATAGTTTTCTCGTTGCTTTATTTTTCCAGGGCGATTCACCTTTCGGCAAATCAGAGGCTTATATTAAATTAGAACAATTAGGGGAAGGTTCTTACGCCACTGTTTATAAGGGATATAGCAAGTGAGTTACGGTAAAAGCGTAAAGAGCAATTACTCAAACTGATCGATCGTTCCGTCTTGTGTTTACAGTTTAGAACATAAAGTAGTAGCTCTTAAAGAAATTAGACTACAGGAAGAAGAAGGCGCTCCATTCACTGCGATCCGCGAGGCATCGCTTCTCAAAGAACTGAAACACGCCAACATTGTCACACTGCATGACATTGTCCACACAAGGGAGACGTTAACGTTTGTCTTCGAATACGTTGTAAGTATCACACTGCAATTACTTTACAAATTACATTCGTTTCAATCGAAGTATCGATGTATAATAATTACAGTAATATCTCGTATATTTCCTTGAAAACGTTACCTTAAATTATAGTTAACTAAGGAAAATTGATGATTTTGTTTTGTTTATGCAGCATACAGACTTATCACAGTACCTGGAGAGAAACAGCGGAGGTTTGGATCCGCGCAACGTACGTTTGTTCCTTTTCCAATTGCTGAGAGGGCTCTCATACTGCCATAAGAGAAGGGTGTTGCACAGAGACGTGAAGCCGCAGAATCTTCTGATCAGCGAAATTGGTGAACTGAAATTGGCCGACTTTGGGTTGGCCCGCGCCAAATCCGTTCCGAGCCACACGTACTCCCACGAGGTGGTCACGCTCTGGTACAGACCACCGGACGTGCTCCTCGGAAGCACCGAGTACTCGACATCCTTGGACATGTGGGGCGTCGGATGCATCTTCGTGGAGATGATCACCGGGATGGCGATCTTCCCCGGAGTCCGGGACACCTACGACCAGCTAGATAAAATTTTCAAGGTAGCGTATTTGCAGAGAGTGTAGGCGAGTGCTGAGATCTAGGGTTTTTCTTAATTGTTTAGGTGTTGGGTACACCCACGGAGGAGGTTTGGGAGGGCGTGACTCGGCTGCCCGGCTACAAGCCCCACAAATTGGGTCTGTACCAGCCCAAGAAATTGGGATTGTACTGGCCGCGTTTACACGACGTCGTCCAAGGGGAGAATATGGCCACGTCGCTGCTCCAGCTCAACCCACAGGACAGAATAGGAGCGGACGATGCCATGATCCATCCCTACTTCAACGGACTCCCCAAGAAACTGCTAGAACTGCCTGATGGTAATTAACGCACTATTTTTTTCTCCACTCCTCGATTCCTTAATTTCGTTCTTTTCCAGATGTATCGATATTCAGTGTCGAAGGCGTGATCTTAACGCCCGGTCATTACTCGGGTATTAAATGAGGCCTAAGCGTCGACTCCCTCTCAGGAACATGCTACAGTAAGCAATGACCACACACACAGTTGGCTGTCCTTTCCACATGCTTCGCACTACGACTCATAAAAACAACATCAACAATAACAGCAACACTTCATATCAAATTCCCCAAAAAACAACAAGAACAACAACAACAAAAACTGTAGGAATGTTTCGAGAGTTTCCAGCACGGACGTAACTGTTTTTTTTTTCCTCTTTACATTTATTGTTTCTACTTTTTATTAATTATTATTATCACATAATGGAAATGTTTCTGTTTTTCTTCCCTTTATCGATGGATTTTTATATATATCGAAATCGAGATTTGGAAAATAACAAGAAAGTGTCTCATTTTGTTTTTCTTCGCTCATGGACAGGAATCGTTTGTTTTTTATTTTTAAATTGTTTACTATTATTATGATTTTTCCTTCAATTTTTGTCGTCTTTCCGAGTGCTGCACGTCTATTTTGGCATCTTCGTCCTATTATTGAACAATAGTGTTTATTGTTTTTTTTTAGTGAGAACTTAAACGACTTTCGACGAAATGAAAACGAGAGGGAAAAAAAAAATTAGAAATCCACGTAATTAAGGAGAAGAATTTTTTATATATATAAAAAGGAAAAAACAAAAATAAAGTACACGCAAATTGTAAAACGTAAAATAAAAGAAAAAAAAAAGAAAACACACACTGATAAAAAAAAATATGAACACACACACATAGATCCATTCCTTCCATGGTGCTCAATTATACTATTTAAAAAAAAAAAACTAAGACTAGCTAAGTCTCTGGTCACATGGGCTGTAAACACTGCATGGCGCAGTGGACTGAGGCTGGTAATCCAGCCAGCACAACTAGTTATTGTTTGTAGAGGAATTTTATCGTAATCATTATTATAATTATAATTTGTTTGCATTTATAGTGTTTGCACCTCAATCGTTGATTGATTGATTGATGATGATGATAGCATTCGTTTCGGTTCAATTAATTTTTACATTTTATATACATCTATATAAATATATTGCATATACAAGAAGAAGAAAAAAACCAGACATGTATAGAGCTTAAGGTGCTTGAATAATGCATAATATTTTCATCAAACTCTGTTCTGCCTGACTTGGGAAAGAAGTATGTACATTATTTTTTTTGTTTCGTTTATAATTTGTTTCCTTTTCATTAGTGGTGCATATAATATATATATAAAAAAAAATATCTTATATTGTCAGATTCAACCTTATTGTATAATCAACTATGTCTATATTATTTACCATTTTTTCATTGAAAATTGTATAATACTTGTAATTTAGTTTTTCCTTCGCTCTAACGAGGAATATTCTTTTTATTTCTTATTATGTTTAATGTTATTATTTTAGTATTGAATCTGATAGTAATCATAGTCGTTGCTAGGATGGAAATGTTTATTATTTCAGTTGTTTTTCGGACATGGCTACATCGAAATTTGTGATTTTTTTTGTTTACATCTTGAATTTCCATAGCCCTCCCAGCATCGATGCAAATCGTTCTAATGTGCCAAAAGGGCAACAGCTTGAGCATTATTATATAGCGTAATCTCAGCATAGTGTGTATAATATTCAGACAGCATTGTTTCTTTATTATTTTTAACCGTAATCATACTATTATTATTATTATTTTGTTATCAACTTTGTTGAGAGAATTGTTTTTCTTTTTCTGGTTATTATTTCGTTGGTAAAAAAAATTGATTAAAATAATAAAAAAAAGTGGTGTAGTGGAAGAGTAATCCGTGAGGAAAAATTAATGATGATATAGACTATTAAATATATTGTAATAATTGCGGTAGGCCTAAACGAAAAATCAGAATTGATGTTTAATTATGAAAGGTTGATTGGTAAACGAGATAGTTTCAGGCAAATTTTTTTTTCGGATTTTAGTTTTACGAGAGACATGAACTTACGTTATAGAGAAATGCTGTGAGCTCTAGAACACCATCTTTTAATCTGTATAAAAAAAACAATATATATATAGGATTCGTAATCAGAGTAGCGTTTAGTCTTCGGCACTAAGGTATGCGGCAATGCACCCCTCCTATGGTACGTCCAATTTACTTGAAATTATGCGTCCTGTTCTAGAATTTAGCGTATATGAAAATCACCGAGATAAATATGTTTAAGAAAACAAACACAGAAAAGTTGATGATGAAGAAAGAAAGAAAGAAGGATAAAACGAGAATTACAAATGGGATAAATCTCTTGAGCACGCTTCCAGACGTGTTTTCTTTTCGCATCGATTTAATTATTATTCGTATATAATCTATATATTCCGTTTCACCTTTCTCGTTTTTTTTTGTATTGTTTTCTATTTAGTGTTGTTTTTTCTTTAAATTATTGAAATTATTATTATATATAAATATAACTATATTGTTCATTGATTTTATTTATATAAATAAGTATCTCTTTTTTAACTTTGTCGATACAAAGATCAATCAAAGCCAGAGTGTGTTTAGGAAGAGACGGAACGGCATCGGCTCGTCCATCCTCGCAAGTTCTGGCGGATGTTAATGTGATAAAGAGGAGTTGTTACACATTCAATTGGAAAACAAACTAAAAACAAACAAAAAAAAAGAAAGAATGAATATATTATAATTATATATATATTATACTATGATGAAGGTGAAATAAATATGTATTTATTGCAAAAAAAAAAAATAGGTAAGAGAGAAGATGGAAGAAGTAGAAGAAATAAATTTGAAGGAGCGAAGAAAATACCAAGGAATAATAATAATTAAAAAAAAAATGGTGTACGTAAATCACTGTACCATGTTGCATTGTACATAGTTATAATTGTTTATATTAATTAAGATAATTATACTTAATTATCAGAAATATTACTAAGTAATAAATGTGTTTGTATATGTGTTCCTTTTATGATCCTTAATTGATATTCTTTTCTTCTAATTTTTTTATATAATATTAAATTAATCGATGATGAACTGAGATGTAACAAAAAACAATGATATTTTGATATGCGCTATATATTTATTTATTCAACGCAGCGAATCTCTTTATCATCGATATTGAACGAAACAAACGAAAAACTTGATTCGTTTATCATCAATTATTAATTTGTTTTGTAACCGCTGGAATGGCGGAAGCGACGTTCCGTATGTAAACGCAATTCTTAGGACTATGTTTGGTTGCCTATGTGTAAAAAGTATATTACATATTTTTTGTAGATTTATATATACATCTTCGATACATATATATAAAGAAATAAACACGATATACAACATGATCAACTCTTTAATTCACTCTTCCTTTTACTATTTATTACATCCATTAATTCCTAGATCCTACTATAATTCCAAATTTCATACAACAAAATCAAATAATTATTAGAAATTTACTTCAATTTCATAGAGAACTATTAAATTTTGGTCGTAAACTAGTAAATTTAATTTAAAGACAATTTGGTATGATTAAATAATTTAATACAATTGTTAAATTGATACAAGAGAAAGCAGTTATTTCTTAGATGTTTTCCAATTATACTTGTTAGTTGTTCCAAATCAAATGCAGGACATATTTAAGAACTTGTATCCATTAAAAACTGATGTTCCACAGGGTAGTGTTTCAGGTCCTATTATTCAATAACAAAATTCGAACATTTGTTTCATTCATTGTAAATTCATTTGACATAATGGAAAATCATGGCCAACCATTATTATTATAATTTTTATTATTAATATAGTGTATTAACGAACTAGAGACATTTGCGGCGTCTCTTAGTCGCATTATTATATAAACATATACATCAGCATAAAGTAATCTCTACCGTGATCCCAGTTCAAGTCCTTATTATAAACACACAATGATCGTTACATGTACAATCGTAATCGATCATCTTTTTCATATAAACAAATGCATTGGATTTTGTCCAGGTCTTATAATAAACAAAGCCACCACTTAATCATCAAAATATACAAAGCCCTACTCCCAATCATAACTCTCATCCCGTATTATCATCACAGTAAACCTTCAAAGACTGATAGAATCTCAGTAAAACCTTAATAAGATAAACATAGTCTTATAAGAATCTTAATATGATTAGCATAGTCTCAAATAAATCTTAAATCGACCAAGTAACGAATAAAGTTATGTAAAATCAAACGAATTTCATTAAATTCCCAACTATTGAGACTCCACAACGACAACACCAGACAATATTCCACGGTGTCCAGAATTCCATCCCTGGGACACGACAATGTTCTGTTACTGAACTGAAGATTATACTGAAATTTTCATCCAAAAGTAAAGGAAAACACCATTGTCCAAATAATCGGAATCATAAATCTGAAACTGAAATACCTAATAATCTACGTTTACAACAAAAATATGATTATTATATAACTTTTCCAACAATTGTTGAACACGTTATAAAGTTGTTTTGTTCAGCAAAGAATAGATTGTCCAATTAACGCCATTGTGTTGGGAGTCCTTCGTTACGTTGAATTCGATTGCGTTTCCATATAGCACCGGGATTGAAAGTTCAACCATATTTTATTGTACCCATTTTCGCATTAATTACGGATAACGGGGAACTGTACGCGTTTTGTTTCCTGCACAACACAACACACACACACACTTTTTTTTAATCCTTCCACTTCTTTTCCTCGCAGTCTCTCTCTTTCAATCAACTCTTATGTAAGTGGTAAATGTCCGCACGTAAATTTACATTATCAAATGAGGTGACTTATGAAGGAAGTGACGATTTTTTATTATCGATATAAACTAATATACGATACACACACACTCACAAACATTCTTTCACTTTCTATAACTAGTTTTGCTCATTTGTGTGTGTATCTGTTTTTATTTTTCTCTCACTCTCCGCGTGTAAAAAGTAAATCCATAAAAGTTGCATTTCGTAACCACATATTTTTTTTTATGTTTTGCGCGTTTTTTTCTCTTTCTTCTTGTATTTTTCCAATTTTGTTTGACCTTAAGAAAGCGCACGTAATCTATGCAGTTAAATGCGTTTCATATTTCTACGTTTTCATTGATACCATGTGAATTCGTTGTATGAACTTTAAATCATTGCGTTTGATCTTAAAATGAAATAAATTATTTTCATATTTCTTTGACCAGAAGTGTTAAATTCAATATTAATTAGTATATTTTACCGTTAATTATTATATTTATGTTATATAATGATAGTAATTTAATTCCTCATATCGTTAATTATAATTTACATAATTAATATATAATATGTCCTCGCATTTAGAGATTTACGTTAAAATCGAAAGGAACTGCATTCTTTTTTTTTTAGATTTAACATTTCATTTTACTTTCACTAAGTTTTGATGCGTAAATCACAAATAATACGAGTATAAAATTACAGTCAGTGTATCCTTTACATATCTCTATTAATATAAATAAATATACTAATGTTAATATTAATAGTTTCTTACGCATTACAATTTCTTATCGTAATTGCTCATTAATTCTTCAGATTTATGTTTATAATAAATGCCAATGATTTGTGATTGCGTTATTTTTGTCATGTTTAAATCTAAAATGTGTTTTATATGAAAACAAATGACTACAAATTATTCTAAGATATGTTGATTTTTATCAGAATAGATTTTATATAAATATTTGTAACATTCCATTAAAGTTACTCTAAAATTATTATTTCTGATTACGAACACAAACGATGACAATACTTTTAATAAAATACAATTATGAGCAAGTTTTGTGGTTTCCGATTTTTATATGCTCTTGAAATGATTTCTTCTCTAATAACATGGTTACTCTTCTTTACAGGATTCCTAAATTGAAGTATTTTAATGATTTGAAGCATTTAAATTGACTATAATTATGAAAAGGTGTTTATTAACCACAAGTATCTTTAGTATTGGTTCAAATTGTGATTTTCAACCACAAAAATTGAGTATCCAACAATTTATTAACCATAAACATTTTTAGTTGTATCTATTTATATAAGTTGGCGTTGGGTATATATTATTAGATTGTTCTTAATCCAAAGGGCTTTGGAATACCTTAATTGTTTTTGATTATTATACTAATTAAGGATTTAGTTGTGGTTAGATTAATAAGACGAAGTAGTATTTATTTATTAGGCTGATTTTGTTTAATTATGGAATTGAAGGATATAAGGTTGGTATTTAAACCATTAATTCCTAGATCCATCTATAATTCCAAATTTCATATAGAAAAATCAAATAATTATTAGAAATTTACTTCAATTTCATTTTATTAGTATTAAGACAATTTGGTATGATTGACTAATTTAATAGAATTGTTAAATTGATACAAGACAAAGCAGTTATTTCTTAGATGTTTTCCAATTATACTTGTTAGTTGTTCCAAATCAAGTTCATGACATATTTAAGAACTTGTATCCATTAAAAACTGATGTTCAACAGGGTAGTGTTTCAGGTCCTATTCTTCAATAAGAAAATTAGAACATTTGTTTCATTCATTGGAAATTCATTTGACATGATGGAAAAACATGTCCAACCATTATTATTATAATTGTTATTATTAATATAGTGTATTAACGAACTAGAGACATTATATAAATATATACATCAGCATAAAGGAATCTCTACCGTGATCCCAGTTCGATAGACTTTAATATAAACAAATGGGAGCAAGCTTAAACACTCTCATCGATACTCCTATACCTTTACTCCGAATTCATGTCCTGATTGCGTTATTTTTGTCATGTTTAAATCTAAAGTGTGTTTTATATGAGAACAAATGACTACATCTTGTTCTAAGATATGTTGATTTTTATCAGAATAGATTTTGTTTAAATATTTGTAACATTCAATTAAAGTTACTCTAAAATTATTATTTCTGATTATGACCACAAACGATGACAAAAGTATAAGCACAATTGTGAGCAAATGGCTTCAAGTTTCGTGTTTTCAGCTTTTTATGTGCTCTTAAAATGGTTTCTTCTCTAATAACATGTTACTTCATCTTTACAAGATTCCTAAATTGAAGTATTTTAATGATTTGAATTTAAATGCTTCAAGAATGCTTCATATTTGATTGATTTGAAGCATTTAAATTGACTATAATCATTAAAAGGTGTTTATTAACCACAAGTATCTTTAGTATTGTTTCAAATTGTGATTTTCAACCACAAAAATCGAGTATGCAACAATTTATTAACCATAAACATTTTTAGTTGTATCTATTTATATGAGTTGGCGTTGGTTATATATTACTAGATTGTTCTTAATCCAAAGGGCTTTGGAATACCTTAATTGTTTTTGATTCGTACTAATTAAGAATTTAGTTGTTGTTAGATTAATAAGACGAAGTAGTATTTATTTATTAGACTCATCTTATGTGATAATGTGATATAAGGTTGGTATTTTCCGTATTTGAATAATTCAATTTGTAAATTATTACTGAATACGTCTCTGGTAGAGGTGTGAAGTTGCATCTCCTGAAATCGGGAAAATGCGATCGATTCGCTGCCGCCTTCACGTCTTTCGGACTAACTGTAAATTTTCCATGAGGGAACGAACGAGAACTTCGAACCCGTTTCCAACGAATGTATCTTCTATGCCAAACACAGACGAAGAATGCATGCTTTCAGATGCGGAGTCGTCACCCTAACAGAGAAATTGACGAGGATTACGTAAGGAGGCCTATTGATAGAGCGCGCGGCATGTGCATGTAAACGGTTTAGTTTATTTTTAAAATCGCTACATGCGTGCATTATATGTATGTATATTTGGAAGGAAAGAGAAAGTGAGTCGCTCTATGTAAACATTTAATTTGTCTTCGTTTCGAGGTAGTATTTCGATCATTTGATTTGAATTGATCACAAGTTGTCACTGTCAGTGGGGAATGATCTTCATCGTCGGCATCAAGTGAGCACGTGGTTGCGAGGCTGTGTATGTCATAAACAAAAACAAATGTTTTTGAGTTTCGGAAGGGCTGCTGCTGCTGGAGGTTGTAGAGGAATTGGAAGAGCTGCTGCTGTTAGTTGTGGTGATACAGGAATAGGAAGATCTGTTGGAGGTATTGGTTTAAGGACGTCTGTTTGGAGACGCGAGGTGTTATCCATCGAGGGTAAGGTTCATCAACGGTTGCAGTTGCATTGGCAAAGGCAAAGGCAGTTGCAACGGCAGCGGCAGTTGGGTGGTGTATCGGCAAGCGGGAAGAACGGCGTGCTACTACCGTTATTGGACCGTCCTGCCCCTCTACGTAGAGTTTATAATCGGAGCGGAGCGGCAGTGGTTCAGTCGGTTGCCGTGTCAGTGTTAGTAGGGCGGCGATTGCAGTTACAGCCGACGACGACGACCCACGTACCAGAGGAGCCGTGCAGAAGAACGTACTCAACGTCTCTCACCGAGAAAGTGAAAATGCCTGAAGCAAAGCCTTTCGAGCGCCTTCCGAACGCCGTGAAGCCGCTTCACTACCAGCTATCCATCACGCCCGACCTGAAATCGCTCACTTTCGTAGGAGATGTCTCCATAAAAATTGAGGTAGGATCCATCAACACACTACTACAAGACCACCCTCCTCATCCTTATTTCTCCACATACGCCCGTTATTATACTCGTTACATACTCCTCCTTATCACACATATTCACATGTACACTGTAGTGTCGAGAGGCAGGCAGGCCGCACTCCGTTCGCCGCGACTGCTATCATCGCCCGAAAAACTTTCCATACCATCGTGCCAAGTCATGATCCCCCCGCACACATACTCAAACACACACATACTCAGCCTTTCCCAAAAATGCAGCAGAATTAGGTCAGAAATCGTCGTATGGCGAGTGCCGAGACTCACCTCACGATTCACTCCTTCAATCAATACAAACGACTGCACTCGACACGAACGTCCAACACCCGCAACCGCAAATTGTATCCAACGAAAAATATAAAACTCACGAGTATGGATCGAAAAGTTCCCTTCTGTCCAGAACATCTTCAATCGATACAAACAATTTCTATTTGTTACTCTGTTTGTATAAATTGCCATCAACCAAAAATCTATAAAAAAACGCGTTTACTCTTTACCCACAACAATAATAAAAATACGGTTATTGATCATTCTTAGTCTGTTTACATTTCTGTATAAAATTAATCATTTTTAAGAATTATTTCAATAATCATTTCTTTTAGTCTTCTAAATTTACTTTTAACTTTTTTTTCTTTTCAAGAAATTCTCTAAAATGAAGACACTCCTTTTTGTGGTTTATTTTTAAATTACTTCAGTTTTGAGCTACAATTATTGTTTTATTCCCTATTTATGCTTCAATTTCCATCTATTCAAACTATTATAGATTTTCCAGAACTTCAATCACAAGAATATCAATTCGCTGTGAGATTTATTTATTTCTATTATTTAATTATGTTTCTTCTGAAAATGATGTACATCATGCTTGTATTTACTCTATTGAGTTTTCCACATCTACAACTTGAAACAAATATAAATCATTACCACCTATGATTTTTTAATGAACATGTTCGAAATGTGTAGCCTCCTCCTAACTGGCTATCGATCTTCTGCCATGCATAATGGATGAATCTGTAGGGTGCTTATTAAGATTTATTGTGTACAATGTTTTTTGAATGGCTCTTTTCTCCCCATCCAAACTTCTTCTATTCATTCGAAACAAAAATGAAAACACATTGCTTTTACTTATTATTATTATTTTTCATCTCGTGCTGTTTTCAAGTAAATCTTAATAAAAAAAAACACTAAATTTATCACTTTGAACATAGTATACAGAATTAATCAAATTAAAGACGTTTTTCACATATAGATTGAAGCACATTCTAAGAGAGTAATTACAGAAATTGATTACTTAAATTTTACATGCAAAATTCAAATACCAGTAGTGATTTATTTAATTTTATTTTATAGTACTAATAAATATTAACTAATAACACCATTTATAATATATACTGACAATACAAATATTTCAAATTTATTACACGTCCATAAATTTGAAAGGAATATTTTGTATGCATTACCATAGATAGTCCATATAAATCAGTGCTGAAAGAGATACGATCTACAAATAAACGGATGCAGTCAAAATAAAATAAGGCTTATAAAGGAAGTGTTAATTGACTAATTCGTATATGATGAAATACGACCTGCTGCTGCTATTAAGATACACATTTTGCATTTACTAATATTTTTTAGTTTAGCTTCAGTTTAAATAAATATTAATGTTTACTAAATGCTTTTCATAACTAAATTGATCGTTCTAAATAATAGACACGGAAGCAAGTCATTAATATTAAGATCTGTTAACGTTTATTGCATCTAATTGAATGAAACAGTTTATACATTTAAACAAGTGTTAATAATACACATTATATGTGAGATAAAAGTGTAGAAAATGAGAAACTACATTTTGACTGTTGTTATTAAGTGAATTACTGCAATTTTTAAATAGAAATATTGTGGAACTTCGCTTAATCCGTTCCAAAATTTTCGGATTTTAACTCGTATAGTGAAACATATTCAAAAATACACATAATATGTGTATACAAGTATTAAAAATGAGGTAACAGGCTCGCAATCCGAGACTTCTCTTCTCATCGTCACTCGTTATTCGAAACGTGGCTCGTTAAGCGAACCATTTTCTTACAATTCATTTTACTCGTTATGCGAGGTTCCACAGTACTTGTATTCTTATTGAATTAAACCAAATAAGAATGGCTGTATGAGAAAAGTGTGCAAGAGGAAGAAGTATCACATTGACTTTTTGCATTTTTACAAAATAATTTTAGTATGATTTGTAGCTTACTATAAATTAGTTTATTACTTTCCGTTTGGAATTGATTAAACATTTTAATAATAATTTAGATGTCAATAGTTACGGAAATCCCGATGTTCAGTAAACTTAAATAAGAAGTTTATGTTATGTAAAAAAGTGGTTTTTATTTTATTTTTAAACTGAAATTATAGCTTGGAAAAATGTCAGATGATTATTATATTTTATATATTTGTTTTCAAATAGTATTCCAATATTAATTCTGTTATAATTATTAGGTTATTTCTTGAGTTAATATTGATATAAACATTATTGTAAATTAATTTAGCATTTATGTTTGTATTTGAATAGTGTATATTTAATGTTGTAAAAAAAATCGAGAAATGCTTGTACATCACATTATTAGTCTCGTTGCAGTCGTAATTGAACGGTATAATGGTAATATTTACATTTAATGTATGTCGACATAGAGAGAGAGAGAAAAAATAAATAAATAAATAATTAATTAATAGAGAAATAGCATTTGCAAATATGCAAATCGTGTTGTCATCGTGGATGGGGCCCAGAGGGGGCCACGCGGTTTACTGTAAACCAATTAATGCTTTGAAGTGAGAGACAGAGAGAAATAGAAATAGACAAGGTTTACTGCTGACTGCAGACTAATTGATGACGATAAATAAATCTTCTGTTCATTAGCGTGAGGCAGTAACAATCATCGGCGCACATAAAATCGCGTTTACGTTTCTAATACATCCTCTGACTATTAAGTGACCACGTAAAACGCATTCCGAATTCGACGTGTGTCGATCGATCCCTGTGCACACACAGCACTCGACGTTTTCCCAAACGTGTTTACAGCTAATTTGTGGAAATTGCAAACTGAATCGTGGATTTCCTCTGCACCGGTTCATTTCGTTTTCGAACTGCAAACAATCAATAATTACAACTACCAATTTCAAACGATAATCATTTGCTTACATTATTAGTTAAATACTTCGTTAACTTTGTAAACATTGAATGCATTTAAATAACATCATTTAAATTTCAATAATTAATAATTAACAATAGTCATTGTTTCTTTGTGCTTAAATTATTACTAAAACGTTTCTTTAAGTTATAATCATTGGAAATGATTAGAAAATTTCAAATTATTTCCGTTTTTAAACAATAATTAAAATTATCAGTTTATATTGAAATTTCATTTAAATACATTTTAACTAAACGCAATTCTCACGTTTACATTATTGATTAATCCGCCTACTGAGAATGTTGTACTAAATGTTGTTTATTCGTATTAATTAATAGAAATATTGATGGCATTTATTTCAGTTTCGCCAAAGCAAAAGCTGAAATAATTTATGGAATGATTATTTAAAAAGAAAACATACACAACGCAACGATTTACATTGAAAATCGTATGCATAAATCAGGTCACATGTCCCATACTTGAAAAACGAATATGCATATCTCTACCCAGTTTTTTTTCTTATACATTTGCATTAGGCTAATGTATAAATAATTACTGAGACTAAATGATTTATTGTGGATTTACACGTCTATTTCAAAATAATTGATTTTTAGAAAATTCATCTTTGTTAATTAACATTTCCTGTTTATGTTTGTATTTTTATCCAATTAGTTAACTATTGTATTTATACATTTATATGTAAATCTCTACTTGTATTTCTTTGTGATTATTTCTCTGGCATCTTGATTTTTGTATTTTTTAAGTTTTGTAGATAGAATAAACCTAATTCCATCTTCACATATTAGAAACTTATTTTCTTTCGTTAATTGAGTGTTTTTTTGTACTAATATCCTTCTAGCTTGTATTATAATTTGTGTTAATTTGTTTATATTATGTAAAGGTTTCTTTATTATTATAATTTATTAGTTATTGAATATTGATTTTTAACAAAGTGTTCTTCATGTCAGGAATACGTTTTCGTGGTTCGATAAAAGGGGTTGTAAATTATGCACTGAAACAGTTGGGGATGATTCACTGCATGAATTTCCTGTCCGTTTCGTGTATTCACAACCCCTTTGCCGCATGATTTCCTTTATTATTTATAATTTACATAAAGTGGAGTTGTGGTAAATTACCTAAATATGACTTATTTTATATAAAACAAGAAATGCGCGTATTCAAGAATGAAATTGTATATCATGGAAATATGGTGTGTTTTAATAGATATATCTATGTGCCAATGAGAAGAGAATCGTATGTTGTATGGTAAAATAATGATAGCAAACTTCGTATCGGGTGAAAAGGTTATCACAGATTTACACAAACCTATATTCGTAATTGATGGTGGAAAGCTGCATGTGTTGTGTGTGTGTGCTTCGATCGAATCTCATCTATTATTAAAGGAATGAATGGAACACAAAAGACAGAACTCGGCTCATTAAGTCCGCATAATGAGTCGAAAACAAAAATCATTCGAATTTGGGTCAGATCGTGAGGCGATGGTTCGTTGAACCTCGCGTTTCGCAAACTCTTTTAATTTATAATATTGACCCAAACTTGACCAATTTTCTTTCAATATTATTCACCTCATTAATTTAATAGACAAATCTCAATTTTTTTTATTCAATAGATTTATTTGATTGGTTTCAATATATTTAGTGTAGGTGTTAGAGTTACTTTTGTAGCTTGAGGATAAAATAAATTTAGAAAATCATAAAATATGAATAATATTTTAATAAAACGGAATAAAATAACGATTAGAGATTTAAAGATCCATCCATAA